TATATATATATATTATATATTTATATATAATATACATATATACATATATATATATATATATATATATATATATATATATATATATATACATACATATACATATACATATATATATATATATATATATATATATATATATATATATATATATATATATATATGTATGTATATATTATGCGATTTCCGATTAATCGTCATATAGGACCTAACCTCAACCCAAGGATGAATAAGCACAATGTCTTTCAAGCCTACTGTTCACAACGTCTTTTACAATTCAACTACTTCTCTATCAGTTTTTTTTTTATTACTTTCTCGTATATACAGAGTATAGAGAAAGTATTGAAATCGTGCAAAAAAAAAACTTCCCTGATTCGAAAAAAAACATAATTTTGCAATCTTATCCGTTTGTCTGTGTGTGTGTATGTGTGTGTATATATGTGTGTCTGTAAACACGATAATTTGAGTACCGTTGCAGCTAGGTTGACGAAATTTTATACACAAGTATTATATCAAATGTGTAGATCGGTATCAACTTTTCAGCGATTTCTACTTTTTTTTCTACTTTCAATTTTTTAAAAACCTATAACTTGAGTACTATTTCAGAATAGATAAATGAAATTTTACTTATAAGTAAAAGATCTAATTCTCTACTTCCTGTCAAATTTTGAGTAACTTCCGTTGACCAGAAGTAGTAATGGAGGCGAGCGAGTTGACGAGATTCCTTCCATAATGTTGTTGACATGGAATAAAAACGTGCTTTTTAGATTTAGACCGTAAAAAAAAAAAAAAAAAAAAAAAAAACTTAAGCCTAAAATTAATTTAGACATTTTATATTTTTAGAATAAATGCTATAAAAGTTGCAAATCCAGAGAACTTGAAAACAATTTGTTGAGTTTAAGGCTACATTTCTATTTATTTTCATCAAGCCTAAGTTATAACCGGATGTTTCACTTTCGTAAGACAAATATTGATTGGCTGTACAGTAACTTAGTGATCGATAACTATTTGTTTACAAAACTTTGCAGATCAAGTTTTTAAATAACAATGCAAATTTAAAACCCAGGACCTAGTTTTCTATTTTTTAGCTTACAATGTGTACAATAAAATTAATGGCGGCCTATCCAATAGCAGGATGCCATTGTTTATGTCGCCATTACACGTGAAAACCAAATTGTTTTTGCTTTTTTTTAAAAATTTTATTTAGTTACCGAAATTATTTTAAACATCAAATACATCCAATCTTTAGTAAAGTCCGAAAAAAAACCAGACAGGCAGGATTTTATAACCATATTAATTGTAACAATGATTTTTACATGAATTTATACACCTCTCAAGTACTTTTGAGACTTTTCTCGCTGGTGTCCATTACGGCTAATTTTATTTATTTGATGTTGTCTTTGATATCTATTTAATGTATATCTTCTTCTTCTTCTTCGTTCTTAATTTTTAGTGTTGGGAGGGATTGAGCCTTATCAGTATGAATATCAAAATAAGAATTTTATAATTATTAAGCACGTATTATGTTAAATGGTTTTTTGATAAAGCTGTAGTAGTAATTGTTTTAGTTTTTGATCATGCAATTTAATTGGATGAAAACGATTCAGGGCGGTTCGACCACCAAAATAAAAAGTGTTACAAGTTAAGACAAATAAGGAGGATAGATCCGCAAAACCAAACTCTGTTTCGTTTTCGCAATAGGAATCACTGAGCGAAATTTTACTTTGTTAAATACATGCATGTCTGTCGATATTTCCAAACACAATGCGTCTGAGTTATATAGCCACTCTTTAGCCGTTAGATTGTTACAACAGGAACAATATACCCTAAAATTATGAAATTAAAAAAAAAAAGTTTTAATCCATGGAGATCTTCAGTGAACGTGAGTTATAAAATCTTTAACCCAAGAAACTGATTTAAACAACTTCTTTAACCCTTAATAAGTGAGCTACAGAAACACTTTAATCAACACAACTTGAGTTATTGATCTACTATAACCCTTAGAAAATGTATTTAAATTATTTTAATCCTTAGAAAGTGAGTTATAGATAAAATTTAACCCTTGGAATGTGAGTTCTAGAACCAATTTTCTCATAGAACGTGAATTACAGAACCACTTTAACCCTTATAGATTGCTTCTGTAACGTGAGTTATAGATCAATTTGACCCTTATTTTCTGGAATCGTGGAATAACTTTAACCCTATGCTACCCCACAGAGTGTAGTAACACTACTTTCGGCTTCAACTGTTTACGACACTGCAATAAAGATTGTCTATACGATACTGTCAACAGCAAGAGATTGTGTGACCCAGTTACAGGAGAGTGTATTGCCAATACAAGCAATTTACTGCCACATTCCACAGGTATTCCAAAGACAAATGTAATAATTAATGCCACATTCCCAATTATAAAACAAGACCCCGGGAAATAACTTTTCTACGTAGAATTCAATGTGTCTCTCACAGAGATCATATAACTAATCGAGATGTCATTTAAAAGATTACCAATGCGATAAGTCCCATTTATAGTCCAGTGAGCATAGTTAAACAAGAGAGATGGTATGGGCATGTCACACATCGACCAATCCAAAACAATAAAGCAAGGCATTGTGGCAGGATACAGAAAGATTGGAGGGAAAATACGTCATTAGACAGATGACATTAGAGGCGTAGCGACCCTTCCCGGCGCCCTGTGACGAACTTTCAATTTGGCGCCTCCTCGGGAGCAACCTTTCAATTTTCAATTTGCACCCCTCAAACTTAAAATTTGCACCCCCCCCCCACCCATATATTTTTTTATATTTATAGTGCTAAACTGCAGCTAAAATGAGATTTTAATTTTTTTTTCCAACCCATTTTGGCGCCCTCTAAGGCGCCCGGGGACATATGTACCCCACCCCCTCTCGCTACGCCTCTGGAGGACATCAAAGGTTCGACTGGAGTACTCGTTGTAGAATTATTGAGAGCAGCAGAGGACCAAGACCAATGTCCAGAACTTTTGAGTGAATCAACTTTAGTGCCCTATCGATCCCAATACGGATTAACGGACATAACAATACAATTGACTTGCACTTTATCTTAAACCATTTCACATCATTCATAGCACACACTCCCAGCATCACGGAAGGCAAACTATGTATTTTGTTAACAGACAATTAATTCGTTTGTATATTTTCCCTTATAATGTATTTATATGCAAAAACATATATTGTTAAAAAAATGATATACATTATTTTGAACACGCTACTAAATAATACAGGTGAAGAATCGGAAGATGATTCGCTGAGTAGAAAATACTTGCTGATTGTACTGCCCGTATTAGTTATTGCGATGTTTGTCATCTTTGTTTTCCTATTAAGGTTCGTCGTGTTCTGTTAAGTAATGTTTTTTTTTTTAAAGTATCTAATCTATTTAAGAATGTTTAGTAAAAATATGGGTTAAATGTTTTGAAACTATAGAAAAAAAAATATTAAGTCATATCTCAAAGTTCTGGTTGCCTTGGAAACTAGATGTAACAATTGAAATGATTAAAACCTCTATAACTTTGCTCTTGCAAGAAAATAAATACAATCTGATTATAGATTTAGATTTTTCATGTTAATCAATACCTATCCACACTTTTTCATTTTAATATCCTGTATTGCTTTTTTTTTACTAAGTTTTTATTCGTTAAAAGTATTTACTAAAAAGTATTTATTAAAAAGTATTTAATAAAAAGTATTTACTAAAAGTATTTAATAATAAGTATTTAATAAAAAGTATTTAATAAAAAGTATTTACTAAAAAGTATTTAATTAAAAAAAAATAATTTAATAATTTTGTGTGAGCAAAATTTCCCTTGTGTCGAAAATATGTGAATCTTCAATCTTTAAAGTAGAATAAATAAGTTCTATTTAAATAACTTTGCTTTAATGATAAGAAAAAAACAATTACATATTTTACATTACATTACAAAATTCGAATGTTAATTTTTTTTTCTCCATCTGTTTAGAAAAACAAAGCAAGTTCAATCAAGGCCTAGCATGAGTAACTACAATTATTTTTCTTATTGTTTAGACTCTAGACTTTCCACATGTCTTTCCTATTTTATCTTTAGCGGGATATTTTTTTTTTATTCTAAACAACCACACACACCTAATGGGTCGTCCATCAATGACGTCGCACTCTTAGCGAGAGGGTGGGGGGGGGGGGGCGTAATTTTGTCAGAGTGTGATGAGGGGGAGGGGGGATGTTCAGATGGTGTGACGTTACTTTTCTGCATTATAAAAAAGCATTGTTAGAAAACGAGTTTTAGCCGTTATTTCGCGTTTTAAATAAAAGGTTTTAATAATATGTAATAGGAATTGATCAAAATACTCTGTGTTGAGAAAGTCATGACAAGATCTGGAAAAATATTGATGTTTTAAGAAAAATTCAACAGCAATTTTAAAGGGGGTTGTAGGCTGAGGTGTTACGTCATTTTAGGAGGGGGTCTTGCTTTTTGTGACGAGGTGTGACGGAGAGGACGGGGGGAGGTAAAAATCGTCAAAAAAAGCGTGACTTCATTTATGGATGACACTTAAGCACGTATACGCTCTCGTAAGCGCATTCGTGCACGCATAATCATACATAAGTATTACGTATATAATATGCAAATAAAGCATATATATATATATATATATATATATATATATATATATATATATATATATATATATAGAGAGAGAGAGAGAGAGAGAGAGAGAGAGAGAGGGTTACGTTTTGGTTAGATGTATATCGGTCTGCACATATTAATATTTATGCTTTTGTATATATTCTTTTCTGGGAAATAACCATTCGGGCTCAGTGTTTCTTCCAGACTTTTTTCTCCGGGGGGGCACTAGAAATCTTCGGGGGGGCGGTAAACTTTCTTCGGGGGGGCGGACACTGTTAGAAGTATATATTTTCTATATAAAGTATATAAATTTCATTTCGTTCGGGGGAGGCGGTAAAAAATTTTCGGGGTGGCTAAGCCCCCCCGAAGAGATGCCTGGAAGAAACTCTGTTCGGGCTATCTCGCATACGACTCTCTTTCATTCAAGAATCCTGCCTTTGTGCAAACGTCCGCCATATTTGTGTGTATACATGTAGTGTTATAAGAGTTTAATTTAGCTACTGCTTCAAAAAGCGCTCTCGATGCAAGGACAGTTCCCGACGAAAAGAGGATCTGTTCCCTACAAGGTAGTTATAAAAAATATATACATTATTTCTTTTTTTTAAAATTAATTCATATATATATATATATATATATATATATATATATATATATATATATATATATATATATATATATATATATATATATATATATATATATATATATATATATATATATATATATATATTAAATCGCGCGTTGATTCCTGAAGTATTTCAATAAATGCTAAAGGAAAAATAGTGTCGGTGTTGGTTTTTAACAAGATTGTATTTATTTTCCATATTCTATACCGGCTGCGTACGATGGTAAAAAAAAATGAAAAAAAAAAAGAACAATGCGTTGTGTAAGTCGTTGGTTTGTTATATTTTTCTATGTATCTTCTTTTCTGGGGAAAAAACATTGGGGGTTTGTATCATTCAGCAAACGTTCATATGGGAAACATTCTGTTCATGCAGACCTCTGTCACTTGTATGTGTATACATGCTGTGTTATAAGAGCGTATGTTTTATTTAGATGCCCTCCAAAAAAGCGATCTAGCAACTACAGTACCCACCCCGCAGCTAAAATTCTACCTGCTTGGACATAACAGAGACTTCTTTCTCGCGCAGTTCAAGGTAGTTATAAAAATGATTTTTTTTTTAAAGTTGTTTTCTTTTTAAACATGTGTATCGCTTTGATTTCCAAATGATTTTAATAAATGATTAAAAGTACAAATAATATGCCTGTGCTGATAATTTTTATCTTCTATAGTCTATAACGGCGGAGTACGACCCTGAAAAACCAAGGAAGAAAGGCATAACGCCTGCCTGTGAGTCAATAGTTTTATATTAAGATCGTCACGGTTGACTGAAATGCAGCATGGTGTTATAGGTGTATAGCAGAGTGTAACATAAGTGTACGAGGGTGTGATTATGATGTAGCCGGGGTAATGCTGGAGTGTACGTCAAAATGTTGCGATTAAAATACTTTCGCAAGAGCGACGGCTGTTTTTATTTTTTAATGTGTTATATAAAATACGATGCATCAACTGTACTAACAATCAAAATCTAACATCTCCATTACACATACCTTTGTCTATGTCTATTTGAATCCCAGGGGATTGCGTGGCCTAGCGTTAGACCCGTATGCCTCGAGTTCGAATCCGGATTCAAGTCAGTAGACCGTCCCTGAGTCCGCCCACATCTGATGGGTACCTAACTCACGTTAAGGAAACAAAGGCGGCTGGGCATAATGCTGACCACACTGTTCCTTTATATACCGAGGTCTATGAATCAGATGAACTCTACTTCATTCAGAAGAAGATTTGAACACCTGTAGTCTATGAATCAGATTAACTCTACTTCATTAAGAAGAAGATTTGAACACCTGTAGTCTATGAATCAGATTAACTCTACTTCATTAAGAAGAAGATTTGAACACCTGTTGTCTATGAATCAGATTAACTCTACTTCATTCAGAAGAAGATTTGAACACCTATTGTCTATGAATCAGATGAACTCTACTTCACCTGTTTAACCTGCTGATTTCTGATCCCCAGACAAGCATTTCTGCATCACCATCACGCCATGGCCGACTAGAAGTCCTGGCAAGTACCTCACTCATTCATTTCTGGCGGTGAGGCGGAACAATTTTTGATTTGTTTATTAATTTTTTGTTAAATCCGCAGGTTAGATTTATGGCAAATTGAATATATATTTTTAATTTTTTACAGTATTTTCCAAAAACAAGGCAAGAGTTTCTTATTTTTCAATCTAAGTTTGATATGACATCGTTAAAATTTTACGTTAAACGCTACTATGAAATACGAGCCGACCCGCAGCGTATCATACGCCGCTATTATTTTCTACTTTTCAGTAATTCATAATTTGTGAATTCGACAGTACCAACGCTGCCACTGAAAATATTTGCTTTAAAATACTATCAGTTGGTCGTTAATGACGATACCCCCCCCCCACCCTCATTTCCCCCAACCCCTACCCTACCTCCCCCCCCCCCCCCCGTGAAAGCAGCCTCCTCTTAATTACCTCCTCTAAGTTTAAAAAAGTTTCAAACTAAATTATCTGTCCCTAATAGGAGTCACTAAACCCGGCTCTATGATCGTAAACATTTAGCGTGAACCACAGCTCACCAGACCATGTGGGGGTGAGGGAGGAGAGGGGACTGCAAGGCGCGCTTACAGCTTGTTTTCTCGCGTCTCCCAGAAGAAAATTATATATAAATAGATTAATATAACAAGATTAAGTAGCTTTGATCAGTCGATCTATCGTGTGGCTGTGTTGTGTTGTGTTCACGGGTGTTTTAAAATCGACGTTAAGTTGGCCAAGTGTATAGTTTACAGCTGAAATCGCTCTATACGTATAAAATCTTTAAAAAAATTGTGTTAAAAACAGGTTAATTTGTTGATGAATCTGACGGTCCATGGGGCAGGTGAAGTAGAGTTCACCTGCTTCTATCATATGAAAAGATAGTGTGGTCAGCACTGTTGCCAACAACCTATACCTTATCGTGAGCCAGGTACTCATCAGAAATGCAAGGGCACAGGAACAAATTCGGGATTCGAACTCGATAATAAGTATCAACAAATATGGAGGTCGCGTGGTCGTGCCTTAGAGCGTTAGACTGCTAACTTGAAAGTCTCGAGTTCGGATCGCGGGCTCGAGTCAGTAGGACATCTTTGAGTCCAATCTGTAAAAACACTCGCTTAAAAAAAATCTGTTAGCGACAATTGTTTTATTTAACAAAAGGTTTTATTTATTTACTTTAGTAGGCCTATATTTGTAAGATATAAATACTAGAAACACCTTTAGAGTGCTTTTAACATACTCGCAGATACTTCCACCATTTCATAGCACCAGTTCTAAATTCAATGTCACTTATTATTATCTAACAGATAACCCTGAGTTAACATGTTTTTGGTATGACACATGTTAAAATATTAAGAAGAGTTAAGGTTTATAGACACTAACCCTTACTAGCTGTTGGCATTATACCGTAGCCTGAACTCGCTCGTGCTATAGAGTACACTTACAACTGTCGTTTTATCGTATTCACCAAGACAATACCATTTTCGGACATTCATTTTAGTAGTTTCGTTGATTTATCAATACTATGTACATTGTTAATGTGGACAAATTAAACAAATAATTTTAGAGTTTAAAGTTTGATAATTTATTTATTCTTACATTTTCATTTAATAATGTTAAATTATTCTATTTCCACAAGCTATCAAAAGAAAAAATAATAGCCGCACAAGGTAATTAATTACAATTCATTACATAAACGTATGACTTTTGTCGTTACGAACATTTTTTAAAACATTTAAAACACTTTATCAATGAATGAATTCTCTGTATTTTTGTTCTGAAATAAATTCAGATTGTTTTTGAAGCTACTTGTTTAAATAAAATTAATTAATATATTTCTAAAGTGCTTATGTACAACCAATTATTCTCAGAGTTTCTTCAGGCATCTCTTCGGGGGGCACCACCCCCACCCCACCGAAGAAAGTCTACCCCCCCCCCCGAACGAAATGGAATTTATATAGAAAATATATACTTTTGACAGTGTCCGCCCCCCCCCCCCCCCGCCCCCCCCCCCCGGAAATTGCTGTCCGCCCCCCCCCCCCCCCCCGAAAATTTCAAGTGCACCCCCGGAGAAAAAAGTCTGTAAGAAACACTGATTCTTCTACAAGTGTGTAATAACAATAATTTCACATCTTCTCGTAGGTCCGCTTGCTGGAACTGTGGTTAGCTTTTTCAATATGTTATGGATCAAAAAAGTTGTCAAAATCGCCGTGATAAGCAATTACACAAACGATGTATGTTGCGAAAGAGTTTTTATGCTTTTGTAATCGCTTCGGCTAAGGAAGACAAATCTAATTTCAACTTTCTTTATCAAAATGCGTTTTTTCAGAAAGAAGACTACTACTGGTCAAAGAAGGATCGAAAAATTGGTACCTTCAGGGTGAAGACTTTGAAAACAGTCGTGTTTACAGATTATACAGAACGCACAATGGAAATTACAAAAGTAATGTTGTTTGAGTTCAAATGTTCATTTTTATTTAAGGGTATAGGGGTCGGCGTGGTCGGTAAAACTCATGGTTGCTAAACCGAAAAGTCTCGAGTTCGAACCCTCGGGCAGATGAGGCTCGTTAGCTGAGGACAACACCTCTTCTAGGAGAGACAACTCCAAAATCAAACAACTGCTGCCTTGTAGTTTGTTCTTGATTGGACAAAGGCTATGGAAGCAAATCCAAAAAGAAAAGCAGGCTGAAATCGGAGTCAATGGCTTCAATGGCGCATAACCAGTTGACACGTATCCTTAGTTGTGATGGAAGCAAGGTCGAGTCGGCAAAGCTCATGGTTCATAAATTCGAAAAAAGTCTCGAGTTCAAACCCTCTGGCAGATAAGGCTCGATCCCTCCCAACACTAAAAATTAAGAACGAAGAAGAAGAAGATTTAAGGGTATTAAATTTAAAATATTTTTAAACTCAAATGTGTATACAATATGTATAACGGCCCTTGCTTTCCCTATTAAGTCGTGTACAACGTAGTGCTAAATGGACTCATGTACGTGCCACGATTTTAGCCCCGAACTCGAGACGTTCGGGTTAGCAGACAAACGCCCTTATACTCGACCACGCCGGCCCTGTTTGCTAAACGGATAAACATTAGTTTTGGATTTTAAATTTTATTTGACAGCAAAGTAAAACTGTACACCCTTTCAAATCCAGCGGTCACTAGCTCGGATAAAGTAAACCTGACCACACAAAAAATGAGTACACAGTTTGTCCAGCACTAAGCACGGGACAGATTTGCATTCCCTAGTGTGAGTCAAGTACCTTGTAGAGCTAGGTGGACTCTGTGACGTCATACAGACCAGAAACTGTGGTTTCAACTCGAGATGTTTAATATTGTTTACTTAGTAGAAAAGTTTACGTAATCATACTAAATTTAAAAAAAAAGCTTTAAAACATTTGCCAAGCGATAAAATGTTATTTACATTATTACAAATTAAAGCTGTTTGGGAACCATCGTTTACTCTCATTTTCATATTTTTGTATTGAATATAAGCCTTCAAAAAGCCATTTTCATTTACTTTAACAATTCTAATATTTTAAAAAAATCAAGCGGAATGGCCAGGGAAAGTAAAACAATGAAAGTCACAACAATTGTTTTCCAAGATAAAATATACAATAGCAATCAATGCGGTATAGCCTGGTAGTTTATTGATATTAAATAACAAACATCCCATATCTCCACGAAACCCTGACTCTACTGCCTGTTTCTTTCAAGGACAAGGGCGATAACCCACCACGTCAGTTGACCCACTTCCAGTACACGGCCCTGCCAGAAGACGGGTCTGACCCGTGTATGTGGAGTTTGGTTGACTTTGAACATAAAGTCTTCTTGAACACATTGGATGATGTCACGCTGGTGCAATGCGGGTAAGATTTGTATGAACAATGCGGGTAAGATTTGTAAGAACAATGCGGGTAAGATTTGTATGAACAATGCGGGTAAGATTTGTATGAACAATGCGGGTAAGATTTGTAAGAACAATGCGGGTAAGATTTGTAAGAACAATGCGGGTAAGATTTGTAAGAACAATGCGGGTAAGATTTGTAAGAACAATGCGGGTAAGATTTGTATGAACAATGCGGGTAAGATTTGTAAGAACAATGCGGGTAAGATTTGTATGAACAATGTGGGTAAGATTTGTATGAACAATGCGGGTAAGATTTGTATGAACAATGCGGGTAAGATTTGTATGAACAATGCGGGTAAGATTTGTATGAACAATGCGGGTAAGATTTGTATGAACAATGCGGGTAAGATTTGTAAGAACAATGCGGGTAAGATTTGTATGAACAATGCGGGTAAGATTTGTATGAACAATGCGGGTAAGATTTGTATGAACAATGCGGGTAAGATTTGTATGAACAATGCGGGTAAGATTTGTATGAACAATGCGGGTAAGATTTGTAAGAACAATGTGGGTAAGATTTGTAAGAACAATGCGGGTAAGATTTGTAAGAACAATGCCACTTTACCACACGTGTATTAACTGACTAACTTTAACCTTTAAATCATATTTTATATGCTAGTAAAATAGTTAACTTGGTGGTTGTATTTGGTATTTTTTTTACGGGTTGCTAGTTATAGTTCACATTTTATTTAGTTTAGATATAGAGCACTTAATACAGAGATAACAAAAACTAAGTGTGGATTGCGGGTAAGGTTCGAAATAAATAAATTATTTTACAAGATGGATTTTTTAATAGTGACAAAATAGAACGCTTATATAATACACTGTAAAAATATGTTTTAACAAGTAGTTATTGATAGTTAACAAAACCTATATTGACGTATTATAATTTTCGTTCAGATGTGTAAGATTAAATAAAAGTATAACAAAAACTATTGGAATTTGTGAAGGAAATTAAACATAATATTGCATAGTTTACTTTTATATTCAGACAATTTTAGGGATCATGTTTACAAACTTGCTAATTGACTAAAATATCAAATGTATCCCCATTATAAAAAACAAACAAAAAAAACCCACTCATTTTTAGGATTGCTTGAATCGATTATTGTATCATTTGAAACTGACTAGAATATATGCATAAATCGTCTAAAATAGGCTACCAACCTATACTTTTATCAGGTGGACCTTGCTAGAATATACTATGATTGTATCATTTTAAACTTGATAGAATCTAAGATTAATTATGTAAAAAAGCTTTAGAATATTTTGCCGCCCTCTTAGTTCACTACACATAGCAAACTTCCTCATGTAAGAGAGAAGCCTGAAAGAAACCCTGTTACATTTAACGTCATATCTTACAGGAGTGATACTACGTGGGGTTCAATGTTTATAGCTCTACACGATTTGATCCGGCAGGCCAAACTGAACCATTCGGTGGACTTTGTCAAAACTGTAACTAGACTTAGACAAGATAAACCAGTAATGATTTCCACCTTTGTAAGTTCGCCACCCTACCTTTCCTTTATAAATAATTCTGGGTTAATCTTTAAATTACAGAAGTTTATCATCGACATTTTTAAAACTTCTATTTTTAAATTAAATTGCACTCAGGGAATTGTTTTTTTTTTTAAATGCAATGTTTTATGTTATGAAAATGCTAGATGTTCTAAAAGTATTTCTCTTATTTCACAAAACATCTAGTCTTGATTAAATTTTTGTTTACAGCGCATTGGATTTTTTTTTGTTGAAGAATCTTTCGCTTTGATATTTTGACTATTTTATAGCGACTTTTAAAATTGATATTAGATTCTTCTTCTTGCTCAAACAATAATAAACTATTCTGTTTTTTGCTCCAAGGAATGTATCCTGTGTTATAAATTGTACGGTTTTATAATTACCAAGATATAGCTTAATTATGAATTCTAGAAATAAATTCAATTAAATAATTTCATTTTCCAAGTGAAATTAAAAAGTTAACAAATACATTTTGAATATTATTACAATGTAAAATTTATATATACAACTCACAGTAGAGTTAAAAACATTATGTACTTGCATTATTATGATTGTTTTCATCTTAAAGAATTTTTAGTGTTATGTTATTGAAAAAAGTTACATTGTATTTTGACTCGTTAGGTTAGATTTCTAGATATATTCTCTTATGTTTTCTAAGCTGGTTATCGCCAATCTTGAGCATGGTGGGAGCCGTAAGCTCTGAAATACTCTAGAAAACACCTACTTAGATAAGGACTGCTTGTAAGAATAAAAAAATTGATCTTAGGTCAATGGTCAGGGCTTGGCTTTAAAATAAAGATGACTATCCAGATGCGTAGCGAAGGGGGGGGGGGGGGGGGTTGCGGACCGCACCGGGTGACACCATTTAGGGGGGTGACACCAAGGCAAAAAATAGCAAAATATATAGAGAAAAATGATAATTCCACGTAATTAAGTGATTAATTCGAGTGTTAAATAGTGTTTTAAGAGGTGCAAATCGAAAGTTTGAGGGAGGGGGATGCAAATCGAAAATTGGAAGTTTGTCCCCGGGAAGGGTCACTACGCCTCAGGGGGGGTGGGGGGGGTGACACCAGTAAGTGCCGCACCGGATGACACCCGACCTCGCAATTGCCTTGCAATTTAATGCATTTTTAGAATTCGGCTCTAGCTTAAGTGATAAAACGTCGTTTCTATTTGGTTCCAACACTTAAAAATTATCTCATTTGAGAATGCAAGGGATAAATGAATAAATGGACTTCACACATTGTTTTAGGTCGGAGAAGCAGAAGTCTAGATTCTAAAATTTATCCAAGCCTGTACGGACACAATAAATGATTGAGTTGTAATGCAATATCAACTTTCGGCTTTATTGATATAACATTAGTTGTTTCTATTATGTATCTATTTTTTATCATTGGTTTAAAGTAGGACATAATTTAATTAAGCACGATTTAACTTCATGATAATATGATAACGGAGCAGTGTTTCTTCAAGACTTTTTTCTCCGGGGTTGGGGCACATTTTTCGTGGGGGGGGGGGGGGGCGGATACACTAATAAAAGTGTATTTTTACTATATAAATTGCATCTCGTTCAGGGGGGGCGGTAGACTTTCTTCTCTACTCCCCCCCTCCCCCCGGAGAGATGCCTGGAAGAAACTCTGTTACGGAGATTTTGTTTAGTAATACACAATAATTTCACCAAGATGATATTGCGTCTGCAAATCATTCACTTGGCATGGGTACGGAACCTAAGCAGTCGTTGTCATTTTTTTTTTCACGTTCCTAACCCAAAAATGGAACAGAGGGAAATCTCAAAGGACGGCTTTAAATACAAAAAAAATCATTGGTATTTTTTGGTTTATTTAATTAGTTATTCATAACAGCTTCGCGCTATAAATCTTATTCAGATTTTGTTTCTAAATATTTTTTCCCAATGAAAATAATACAAACTGGGTGCTCTTAAAGGATATCCATCCTAATGCGCCGTATCTATATATATATAATTCTCTTCATGGAAACCATAGAAAACACCACGCAGCTTAGCCACCACCCTCACCTTCACCTGTCAGGTGAGCCGTGGTTCACCCCAAATGTTTACAATAGTAGAGCCGGTCCAAATAAGTGACGGCTATTAGGTGCAGATAATTTACTTTTTAAACGATTTGAAACTAAAGGGAGATAATACGTTCAGCTTGATATTTTCATTGGTTTGCAAGCGGCTGCTTTCACTGGGCGGGGTGGGGTGGGGGTGGAGGAGGCAGGGGGAGGGGTAGTGTCGAATTCACAAATTATGAATTGTTGATCAAATAAAGCGACTAGGTAGCGGCGTCAGCTCGTACACAATAGACGTGCTACTGCGCTCTGTTAGTCATATTATAACATATGAGTGAAAGATTGGGGTGGGGGGGGTGGAGGGGGGGGGGGTTTGGAGAGACTAGTAACTTTACTTAACCCTTTATCTACTGACGGTACTTATAAGTACCACTTTAATTAAGTGCCTGTATTATTTTAAATTAAATACGAATTTTAAAAATTATTGATGTATTTTATAGTATTATCTCCCCCGAGTCGCCGGTAGTCGGAGGTATCAATGTTTTTAAAAAAGTTAATGGTGTGGCGCTTTTTCAATGTCTTGCTATATCGGTAGTTCACAATTTTTCTGTACATTTCTCACACCCGTTCCTGATTTCCTTTTGTTTTACCTTATTTTTCAAGTTTTCAACCCCAAATATTTTTTATTGGCACCTTCAATAGTCAGGCAAACGCGTTTAACTTCTAGTTATACAATTTTAATCAAATTGTCTTTGTATTAGATCAATGTTTACAAGTGGACTTATAAGTACCGTCAGGGCACACGGTCATTTTTTTAGGATTTTTTAGAAAATTGCAGATTTGTTAGGTGGAGTTACATAAATATTGTCTTGATAATTACTTATCGAAATGTACTCAAAAAATGATATTTACACATTTATAAGAAGGTTTGCATATGGTTTACCTAAGAAATATTGTAATTACATGTTAATTTCTAGTAGTAAAAAAATAACAAGAATAAAGGTATCAGTTGCAGGCTCGTTTATAAGGTTTAGTATACTTCATTTGTATACCAAAGCCTAGTTCAGGTTGTAAGATTTAATTTGTTAGTTATATTTACTGCAATGAACTGTCTTGCCTACAACAAATAGCATTTACATAATGTATACCTGTAGACTAGTAATAGTCCATACTTCTGCATATAGTTTAGATCTATAAGGTAAATTTTAATCAGTAAACAGAAAAGAGTAATCCACTACTTCTTCCAAAACACATTGAGCTCACTTCTATTTATGAACTTTGCACTGTAGTGTAGACTTGTCATAACATTATAGTAGGCTACAATTATATTAGTATTTCTAGTAGTTGTGTGCTGAATGACTAGGCTTTTGTTTGTTTATGCGCCTCATTGTACTAGTTTTTGGAAGCTGCCAGCAAAAGCATATTCATTCCGGCAACCGTTGCTAAACTAGAAAGACCACAGACAAGATTGAGGGAGCATGACATGTCGACTACTTTTGCTGTGTTTGAGGTCTAAGATGTGTTCCGATAGAAAATCCAGTAAAAATCGTACTCAAAATATACTTTTGTGCTGTATTTATGTGTGAAAATTACAAAAAGTGATTGTTATAATGATTGCCATTTTATTAGTTAATAAATTGTATCATTTGTTCCTGTTTTGTAAAAAAAAAAATTTTGAAAAAAAATGTCCTAGTTTACTGACGGTACTTATAAGTACCAATATCTGTTTGGGCCATTAAAAATTTATGAAACGAAATTTCCTTCGATATATGCTTTGAATGTGCCAAAAGCAATATAGTAACACATTGTTTAAGTAAAAATCTCATTCAGAACATAATTCCGTAAATAAAGGGTTAACATGTGTTTTTAGGAGCAGTACATGTTCCTGCACCACGCCGTGCAGGCTGGTGTAGCCTGTATAGGCAGCTACACACACATCAGCGCCATCTTTCTCAAAGTACATCTCATGGGGAAAAACTGTCAAAGAAAGAAGTAATTTTGAAACAGAATTCAAGGTAATATTTTGTTTACTAGCTGTATTTCTTTGTCGCCTTATTTGTTAAAACGATGTAGATTCTATTGCTCATTATGTAAACAACATTAATTTTCCTTTTTTTACACGAGCTTAAAAGTGGGGAATGGTTTTCTTTGACTCCTGTGTGTTTTTAACAAATTACATTGTCGTATGTAGGGGAAAAAGTGTATAATTTGCGGCATACTTCAAAGGAATGCTATGCATTACGTTTGGTAGCAGTTCGGTTTCGGAATCTGAAAAAGAAAAGCAGAATTTGTATTCCTATCGCCTACGATGCTTTATTCCTAATTGATTTCTGAATGTTTTTTTCTAACTGGGTTGCCGACTTATTCGGCTTTAATCAGCCTAGAGGCGTAGCGAGGGCGGGGCGGGGGGTACGGACCGCACCGGATGACAACATTTAGAGGGAGTGACGCCATGACAAAAATTGCAAAACGTACAGACGAAAAATGCTTTTTTGCCAGTTCCATTAAGATTAAGTAAAGCTAAACAGTGTTTTAAGTAAAAATTGACAATTATTAAAAAAGGGTGGGGATAACACTATGACATAAACGTGCTAACTATAGACAAAACGATGCTACATCAAACTATGTTTTAACAGACTATAGATAAACATCGTTTCTGTTACGTACGACAACACAACATCGTTTCTGTTACGTACGACAACACACATACAAATAAATAAATAAATAAATATATATATATATATATATATATATATATATATATATATATATATATATATTGTTTCATGGGGGATGACACGTTGAAGTGCCGCACCGGGTGACACCCGACCTAGCGACGCCACTGGGTCAGCTACCCTTACTATATCTAGAATTACCAAAACTGTACCCATTGTTTAAAATGTGCTTTCACGACACGATTTGAATTATACATGCTTATTATTTCAGAATTTGTGTAATGTGGAAATGAAGATGAGCGCCGGTGATGCGATTGCTACGGAAGATGAAACAAGTAAAGATAGATTCAGCATTTTTCCAGGTTAGTGTAAAAAACAAAGGAAATGGATGGACAGTGGCGAGGTCGGGTTACACCCGGTGCGACATTTAATGGTGTCACCCCCCCCCCCCAGAGGCGTAGCCTCGGGGACAAACTTTCAATTTTTGGATTTGCACCCCCTTCCCTCAAACTTTCGATTTGCACCCCTCACTCAAACTTTCGATTTGCACCCCTCACTCAAACTTTTGATTTAAGTATATATATTTTAAGTATATATATTTTGTTATTTTTTGCCTTGGTGTCACCCCCCCCCCCCTTAATGGTGTCCATCCGGTGCGGTTCGCACCCCCCCTCGCTACGCTTCTGCGGATGGATTTTATATTCTACGTGGTTGGATATAATATATATTTAAATCCTACGGTATTAATGTACTAAACAGTAAAGATGCATACAACATTCTATTAGGAAAATGTTCATCAACGACATCGCAACACAAAATTTAAAAAAGTCAATATTTCCAATATAATCATACAGCACTGACATGTAGGTGCAGGATTGTATATCCCATTAGTGATGGACGAAATTCTCTCACACGACAGGGGTGGGTCACATGACAGGGGGGGGTCACATGACAGGGGTGGGTCAGCTGGGTGAGTCAGGTGAGTGTACATCACACTTGAAACTTATCTCTTGACTGTACCGAAGGTTAAATTCTCTTCGCTTTTGTAAACTCAAAGTGGAGCATAGGCCATATAAAACATCCTTACATTATTTTTCAGTATGAGCTTCACAATTCTTTCCAATTGTTTTAATGTCATTTTATATCAATTTCTCTACCTCCGGTATTTTGGGGTCTCTCACTTTTTCTTAATTTTTTTTCTTTGTTTTATGGGTTTCCTCGACTTTATGGTCTCTTATTTTCGAATGTCTGGCTTCTCACCAAAATGTCATGTCTTCTCCCATACTAAAGACTTATGTACTTGATCAAATCAGGGTACCGGTCTACGTTTGTTTTACAATTATGTTAACTCCTTGCAGAGGCGTAGCGACCCTTCCCGGCGCCCGGGGACAACTTTCAATTTGGCATTTGGCGCCCCCATCCCAACGAGCCCCCCCCCCCTCAAACTTTCGATTTGCACCCCCCCCCAAACTATTTACAATGCGAAAATGCAGCTAAAATGACATTTTTATTTGCTTTTTACAACCCATTTTGGCGCCCACTAAGGTCGGTGCCCAGGGACATATGTACCCCCCTGCCCCCCCCCCCCCCCCCCCCCCCCATCGCTACGCCTCTGACATCCTTGACCCTAAACTGTACTTTAAACCCTATGCAAGTTGTGAAACATATAATGGTTAATATAATTATATTTTAAAATAATATTTCATTGTAATATCTTTTGTCTCCCATCTATGTGTTGTTCAGACAAGAACTACAACCCTGTGTTGTAATATCTTTTGTTCTCCCATCTATGTGTTGTTCAGACAAGAACTACAACCCTGTGTTGTAATATCTTTTGTTCTCCCATCTATGTGTTGTTCAGACAAGAAGCACAACCCTGTGTTGTAATATCTTTTGTTCTCCCATCTATGTGTTGTTCAGACAAGAAGCACAACCCTGTTTTACAAATCGACTCTGAGGGAGACGAGGACTATATCAATGCTGTCAAAGTGCCTGTATGAATATATTTTTTTTTTCTCTTAGTTTTTAATGATTTAAATTTTAAAAAAAGTCATTTTAATTTTTATTTTTATTTAAATGTTTTTAAAAATTATACTAGAATGTTTTATTGGGGTGATTTGTTGATTGATTTAAAAAATAATTACTACTTATGGCTTTATGTAATTTTTTTAGCATTTGACTAGTGAATATAATTACATAACTAAACAATATAATATATATATATTATATATATATATATATATATATATATATATATATATATATATATATATATATGAATTATTTTAAAAAAAGAATTATATATACATTATATATATGTATATATATATGTATATATATATATATATATATATATATATATATATATATATATATATATATAATATATATATTATATATATATATATATAATATATATATATATATATATATATATCTATAATAATAGTTTCGCTGTCTGTCTATCTATCTATCTATCTGTCTGACAAGAACGCTCTAGAGAAAAGACAAGCAATTTAAAAAACATGCATAGTAATTCGAAAAACGAAGTATGACGTCGACACATTTAGCATAGAGTAGAAAATAATCTCAAACCCAGAGAGTGCACACAGTTATATGACGTCATTGATTTTCGCGCTAACATTGAATAAAAAGGAAATGTTGTCTAATCTAAATGGTTTGCGTGAAGAGTTTCTTGCATACAATTCTTCGGGTAGGGGCGAAGCCCCACCCCCCGCGTAAGAACGTCTGAGCCCCTCCCCCCCTCCCCAACTCAAAAGAATTTCTTCATCGATACTCTATAATATAAATTACCGCCTAATTAATGTGTCTAATCTAAAAAGTGGTTTTCTTGCAATTTCTTTAATGCAATTCTTCGGGTAGTGGCTAAGCGCGACACCAGTGTTTCTTTCAGACTTTTTCCTCCCTGGGAGGGGTGGGGGTACTTGAAATTTTCGGGGGCGGGGGTAGAATTTTCGGGAAGGGGGGGCGGACACTGGAAAAAGTATATAATTATATTTCGTTGAATGGGACGGTAGACATGATTTTTTTGGGAGTGGGGGTGGGTGGGTGGGGGGGGTGGGGGTGGGGGGGGTGGGGGGGGGGGGGGGGGGGGGGGGGGTGGGGGGGGGTGGTGTGGGGGGTGGGGTGAGGGTGGGAGGGGTGGGGGTGGGGGGTGGTGTGTGTGGGGGGGTGGGTTGGATTTAGTTTAGAGAAAAGAG